CCCACCCCCCAGGGGGCTTCACTTCCCCAATTCCGCCCCCCCTCCCCGCCCCCCCATGGGGCAGCAGGTGAGAGGGGGGGCTGCTGCTCACAGGTGGGAGGTGGTCATGGTCTTGGCGTTGCGGGACTGGGTGACGTGGCAGGCTTTACGCAGCAGGGATTCCAGGAACAGCTCCAAGGCCCGCGCTGCGTCGCGCCGTTAAGGACCCCCAACTCCCCTCCCCACATACACACAGACCCCCCCCCCAAATAATAAATGAAAAGAGGAAGGGGGGGGTGGGCAGGAGGGATGCGGCCACCCCCAGTTATATCCACCCTCAGAGCGCTTCTTGGTTGTTCGGGGGGGGGAGTTGGGGAAAGGGATGAAAAATGGGGCAATGGGGCTGAAAAGGGAATAGGGGAGCAGGGAGGGGGATTTGGGGACGATGGGGAGATTGGGATGAGAGGATGGGGACAGTGCTGCAGGGACAAGGGGACAGGGGGACATGGGGATGATGGCACAGGGATGGCGTCAGAGGGAAGAGGACGAGGGCACAGGGAAGTGGACAGGAGGACAATGAGGACAGGGACAAGAGAACAGGGATGAGAGTAAAGGGAAAGGGGTGCTGGCACAGAGAAGGGGGCAGCGGGACGACGGGGACAGGGATGGGGGTGAGGTGACAAGAAGGAGCAGTGGCGACAGGGGGAAGAAATGAAAGGGACGAGCTGGGGAAAGGGAGGGGGATAACGGGGAGAAGGAATGGGGTGATGCGAGAGGAGAAGGGACAGGGGACAATGGAGGCAGGGGACGATGGCAGCGGTGGGGGCAGGGATGAGGGGACGATGGGACAATGGCCCGGGGAAGATGGGAGAGGGACAAGGGGACACAGGGGACGTGGAAGGGGACAGCAGAGACAGGCAGAAGGGCACAGCGTCCCATCAGGATACAGATGATGACGGGGACGGCGGCCGCCACCTTCCCAATCTCCTCATCCGTCTGCATGATCTTCTTGATCCGAGCCTGGAAAGGGGCAGGGGGGGTTGAAAAGGGTGGGGGGCTGAGATAGGCCACGCCCCCATACTCTCAGGCCCCCCCACCCCAACAGAAACATGAGATGAGCGTGAAACAAGGCCATGCCCCCAAAGAGCAAGCCACTCACAGCACCCCCACAACCCCATATTGGGGGTCTCGACCCCAAAGCTCCCCTACAAACCCCCAGACCCCCATATTTGGGGATCCCCACCCCCACTGACCCCCCCAGACCCCAGTATTTGGGGACCCCACCCCCACTGACCCCCCCAGACCCCAATATTTGGGGACCCCACCCCTACTGACGCCCCCCCCAGACCCCCTCAGAACCCCATATTTGGGGTTCCCGACCCCAAAGTTCCCCCTTACACCCCCAGACCCCCATATTTGGGGTCCTCTCCCCTCCAGACCCCCAAACCACGCCCATTAAGCCCCGCCCCTCCCCCAAACCACGCCCCCACCCCATAGAACCCAACGGCCTGCGCTGAGCGAGGCCACGCCCCCACACCGCAAAGCCACGCCCCCTTTCAGAGATCCATTACCGTAGAGACCCGCTGCCATGGAGACCCGTTGCCATGGAGACCCGTTGCCATGGCGCCCCCTCGCAGCCCCCGGTTCCCCTCCATAGGCCCCAATGAAGGCCCAAACCCCCCCTCTCAACACCCGGAACCCCCCGGAAGGGCTCCGTTCCCGCTCACCGGAGGGAACCGGGCGTTATATTTCTTCTTTTTACTCGGCATCGCCGCGGACCAGGCCCCGGGCCCCGGCCCGGCCCCGTTGGGCCTCTCCCGGCCGCTCCCGCACCGCTCCCGGCTCCGCTGAGCCGCACGCTCCGCCTCTTCCGCCGGGAACGTCGCCTCTTCCGGTTTAAACCCCGCCCACCCTTATCGCCCTATCAGCGTTGAGAACGCGTCCCGTCGTTCCCGCCCACCGCGAAGCCACGCCCTTACTTCCGTTCTCAAAGCCCCGCCCCTTCGCTAAGCTCCGCCCCCCCGGCTGTTTCTCTTAAAGGCGCCGCGCACCGAGTTGGGCTCGTTTTATTTTTTTGGGGGGGAATCCCCCGATTTAAGGCACTTTTTGTACAAAGAGGTAAATATTCGCGCGAAACGAGAGACGAGGGCGCTGGGAGGGGGGGAAGGGAAGGGGGGGGGGGCCACGAAAGCGGGGCTGACCTATGAGGGGCAAACCCTGACTCACCCTGTGATCCTCCCAGTAGCTCC